TAAGGATTTCTGTAGTTCAAGAATTTGTTTTTGAGAACTTCTTAATGTTCTTATCAATTTTTTGAGATCTGCTTCTTGCATTTCTTCTATGTCATCATCTTCATAATCTTGAATTGGGGTGTCTTTTTCATTTGAGGGCGTCATGGTGACTTCCTTGTTTTTATTACCTTGGTTTTTGTGTTTGTTATTTGGCATATTGGAGATATTTGGTTTCTTCACTGTGGTGCTTTTTCTTGTTATACTATGACTCTAGATTAAGTGGACTATCTGTTTTTGATGGAGCCTTAGGGCTCGAGATGGGTGTGGCCTGAGACCTCTGTTTGGTGTGCCAAAGGTGACACTCCCAGGTTAGGCATGGTAAATCTCTCTCTCTCTCTTTCTTTTTTTTTTTTGATTCAAAAGGGAAGTAATTCCGCACAGCTGAACGAAGTTGGAGGTAGTTAGCAGGCAAATGATATACCCACAGGAGCCAGAGTTTGGAAGCGCTTTCCCAAGGACCACACAGGGAATCTCTTCTGCCCTCAGAGTGGGCTCAAATTCTCCTTCAGTCTCCCACTGGGTTGCCAAAGTTACGGAATTGTAGCGTCTCTGGAGAATGCTCACGTGAATTCCGTGAGTTCTCTCCCCCACCGTCTCTTTTTTCACAGTCTCAGTTCAGTAGCACCACAAATTTACTAGGTCCTAATCTCCTGTTAACTCGCCCCGCCCAGAGTCAGGTTTTTCTGCTAGGCTCAGGGCCAGTGCAGACCTGAGGTCGCTCTGCTTATGATGTATGTCCAAGATGGCGCCTGCTCTTTGTCTTGCTCGCCCTTGAGAGGTGAGCGGAGAGAGAGAAACCCGTGTCCGTACCAGTCACCTTTTTTTTTTTTTTCTCTCTCTCTCTTCCAGTTAGCCTGGTGAACTTCCCCCCCACCCCCACCCCGGGGGTCGTTTCCTCTAGTCTCCTCTCTCCGCTTGCCTGCCGGTGTCTGGGGCTATTGAGGTTCAGCTCACCTCGCGTTCCAGCACTGGTGTGTTGAGTCTGCCGCTGGTGTCCCGAACTGTGGACTCCCACGCTCTCCACGCAGGTCCGCTGTGAATCACGCGTTCCGGAAGAGTTTCTTCTCCTGTTTCCTCCCCTACTCTTCCTTGAACCTGCAGTATCTCCACTTTTATTAAACTATCTCTCCCCGGACTATCAGTGTGCTCCCTTCCTATTCCGCCATCTTGCCTCTCAAACCGCATCGGACTCCTTTTTTTCATTTAACTGTTTCTCTGTGTTCTTGCATAACCTTACAATCATTCTTTTTAATGCCTTTTCCAGCATTTCATCAGTTTCCTCTTCTTCACAGTTCTATGGTAATATATTACTGGCTTCCTTTTGGGGTGTTATATTGTGTGCTTTGTTCATATTTCCTTTTTTTTCCTACACAACTTGGGAATCACTTGTTTCTATCTCCCCTGGAGAATGGGCTTTATTATTATTATTATTAATTATTATTATCATTATTTTTATTGAGGGTTTTGTTCCTGTAAATGTGTTTGTATGACTCAGTTGAGTACTTAAGGCTTACCATTGAGTTCCAGGGGTATATGCTGGGGGGGGGGCAAGGAGCTCTGCCTATTTTTTGGTGGATGGAGAAGATTCTAGAATGAAGCTTTGGGTGAGCATGTTAGAGCACCTGTGGTTACCTTTAGTGAGTGGAGGAGATGTTGGAGGTGGCTAGTGTGTTCACTATCCCAGGCTTTGTCTTTGCCATTGTGAACCAGCTAATTCACTGAAAGGAATTAGCTCTCATGGGTAGCATACCTCATCTATTCAGGTGCAGGTACCATCTAAAGTACTGACCCACTTCCCACTCTGCAGGATGTCTTAGAAGCCACCTAAATATCCAGTTCCAGCATGCAGGGATCTCCAAATTTCTAGTGTCAGACCAGGTGGTAACTTGGGAACCCAGCCACAAGCTAGCAGCAACCCATAACCTCTCACTGCCTTGGTCTATGCCCAGAACTCTCCTGCCACAGTGTGCAGGGGGTCTGCTCTCTAACCTTCGTGTGGTCCTCTCTTGGCATCCTCTGTCAGCAGTGGTATTGCCTGAGTTTCCCTGAGACAGAGCAGAGTTTTGAGCATGGTTTCTCTGCTATGTCACTACAGCAAATTGAGTCTGGTGCTTTGTTAGGGTGGCAAAGGAGGCTATGTGGTATTTCTTCATTTGGCACTGTAGTTGCCCTGACCCCCAATAGCTCCCCAGGCTGTACTTGGAGCCTGTGGGGATCATAAAATTTTGCTTTGATTAAAGCTGCCGGTGGTGGGGTCTATGGCAGCCTCCTCCCAGCTTTCTCTGGTAAAACAGCGCTTCTCATTTGGTTCTATGGAGGCTGGAGTGACTGGTGGCATGTCGCCAGTGATTCAGTGTCCATCCTCTCTTCTTACTTCCCCATGGAGTCTTTGTTCTGTTCTGTCCGTTCTGGGAACATGGTCCTTTGTTTTTCTGGTATCTTTCTGTGGATGAGGTCCGTGTGTCATCTCACTATTCAGCTACTCCATCCGGGTCTCCCACATGGGTGTTAGGGACGTTTGTACTCAGGCACACTCTGCTGCTTTTAAAGATGCATTAGCAGGGAGCTTGATCAGAAGTGAAGTGGTTGGGTTCGAATTGCCACCAATTTGGGCTGTCTACATTTTAGGCAGCAGCTTATCCTGCTACACCACAATGCCTGCCCCAATAGGAGACTTTTAATTACTGCTTAAATCTGATTGCTTCTTATGAGTCTGTTTCAGTTTTAACTTCCATCAGATTATACTGTTTTTAGGGTCAACATATGATTGAAATCATGTGATACTTTTCTCTCTGTGCTTGGCTTATTTCACTTAACATAGTGACCTCCTATTCCATCTGTGTTACTGAAAATTATAGCATTTCATCCCTTTTGTGACTGAGTAATATTCCATTGTGTATATTGTACCACATTTCCTTTATCTGTTTTTTGGTGGATGGAAACTTAGGTTACTTCTGTTTTTCTCCAGATTTCTCAAGCAAAAATTTCTATGCTATGAACACTGTCCTGCCCTTTGTATTTTTATCTTAATTACATATTTTGGATATTATTTCATACCCATTTATAGGGCTCTTTCTTACTTCCCTCCTTTTTACAGTTGTGTTGTCTGTTGTGTTTGTGCCAGAGTTTATTTATCCCGTCACCTATTAGTGAACACTTGGTTCACTAATAAACACTAAACACTTAGGTGTTTTGCTATTATAAATGATACCAGGATTAGTAGCCTTAAATTGTATTTGCCAGTATGTATATGTATTTTTTCCAGTAGTGCTTAAGAAATTCCAACAAGCTTAAGAGAAGTAAAACAACACGCATTTTTGAGAACTCAGTTTTTTAGATCAGAAGTCTAATATGATGTGCCCGAGTTTTCTGTTTAGGGTTTTGTATGGTTGAAGTTAAGGTTTTAGCAAAGCCTTGTGCTAGCCTGGTTGATCTGAGAAATATTCCAGCTTTCTTCTTGCGTTTATTGGAATTCAGCTCCTTGCGTTTGTAGGACTGAATTGCTTAGATCCTTATTGTCCATCAGCCAGGGATACCCCTTGGTTTCTAGAGGTTGCTCTTAGCAATTTCTCATATGGCCTTTTACATTTCATGAATTGGGAACTTCCTTCATACTTTATATCACATCCCTTCAATTCCTTTAATATCTCTGAATTCCTGGTGGTGTTTTTGATTTGAGTTTTTCCAGTTGGGAAAATGTCTGCTTTTGAATTATTCATATGGTTAGGTCAGGCACACCTTGATATCTTAAAGTCAACTGATGAGGGACTTCAGTTACATCTGCAGAGTTTCTTCACAGTAGCACTTTGCTTTTATGTTTGATGTTTGAGAATCTTGGGAACCACCTTCTACCTACCACAGTGTCTTGGGGGTCTAATTTCTAGAAGTGCTATCACTGAGTTTAAAGGTAAGTTCATCATAAACATGCCAGTATATGGTAATTATTGCTTGATTTGCTTCCATTGGGGATATTCCTTTTGTATTCCCATTATTAAGTTATAGTGCCTGTTTTCTTATTAGGATGATTAGGAACATTGTGTTGTCAAAAGTTAAGATACTTTTCTGTCCTATAAATGAGAAGCATTAACTTATAATTTCTTCTTATGAATAGAACATCTTTTCCTATTTAAAGGCCACTGACATTTCTTTTTGTAAAAACTTAGTTTTATATTTGTGCTACTGTTTTTTGTCAATTATTAGAGATTCCTTACCTTTCAGGGATATTAGATCTTAATTTTCCATGGCTTTCTATCAGATATCTACTAAAATTCCAGCCAGCCTGTATGAACAACTCATAAGCAATAGTTTAGTAAATAAAAATGAATAACAGAAAATAATGTTTCCCTATAACAGATAAAATTTTCTGTTGCTGTTTAGTTTCTGTCACTTCCTTTCAGCTATATGATAGTGGAATATAGATATGATATGTATTTGGTAGAATAATGCAATTTGAATTAGCTTAGTCAAAAGAGGAAATTAATTGATTGGATTAACTGATTTTCAGGAAAATCAAGGATAATTTGAAAAAGGACTGCAAATGCAGTGAGGTTCACATCTGTATCTATCTCCCTACTACTCTCCCTTGTTCTGTGTCACTTTCTATCTTGATTTTGTTTGAAATCCAACAGTGTAATGTTTCAGAGTTTGTACTCTGAAATCAGATTGCCTGGAGTTGCTTCTTGATTCTGCTGTTTACTAGTTGTATGGCCTTAGACAAGTTTGATCCTGGTTTTCTCTTCTGTAAAAAGAGGGCACTGTGCCATGTGAAATGAGCCAGAAAGAGGACAAATATTACATGATTCCACTTATACTGTGAATCTCAAAAAGCATAACTTGGAGCAATTGTTTGACATAGTGGTTGAATTGTAGGCTTGGACACCTACATTTCATATTGGAGTGCCTGTGTTTGAGTCCCAGCTCCTATGAAAATTCCAAATTTCTGATAATGCATTTGCTTGTAGGCAGCAAGTGATGGATCAATTAGTTCAGTCCCTGCCATTGACATTGGAGACTTGGGTTAAGTTCCTGACTCTGGCTTTGACCTGTTCCAGACTCAGCTGTTTAGACCTTGGGGAGCAACCAGTGGATGGAAGATCTGACTCTTTGTCTTTCTGTCTCCCAAATACAGAAATACTTTTAAAAAGTTAAACTCATGGAAATAGGGAGTACAATAGTTGCTAGTGGATGGGATGGGAGAAGAAGGGCAATGGACAGGTACTAGTCAAAAAGTGCAGAGTTTTCATTGTACAAGATAAGTAAGTTCTAAAGATCTGTTGTATAACATAGTATCCATGGTTAACAATACTGTATCATATACTTAAAAACTTGCTAAGAGGGTTGATCTTATGCTACATGCTCTTATCACATTCAAACATATTAACATGAGAGAAAACTTTAGAAGGCGTTCATGGTATAGATGGCAGTTATGATTTCATGGGTGTATACATATCTCCAAAATCATCAAGTTGTACACATTAAATTACAAGTTGTACAAATTAAACAGCTTACTCTGTCCGCCTTTCTTCAATAAAGTAGTCTTAAAAGAAGAACAGTATTGTTCCTATCTCAGTGGTTTTGAATTTTAAATGAACTAAATTAAGTGAAGTGTTAAACATTCAGGTTATTTTCTAGCAGATGATAAATGCTATGCAAGTGCTTGCTACTGTTTTTTTTTCTGAATAATTTTTTTTTATTTTTAACTTTTATTTAATGAATATAAATTTCCAAAGTGCAGCTTATGGATTACAATGGCTTCCCCCCCATAACGTCCCTCCCACCCGCAACCCTCCCCTTTCCCACTCCCTCTCCCCTTCCATTCACATCAAGATTCATTTTCGATTCTCTTTATATACAGAAGATCAGTTTAGCATACATTAAGTAAAGATTTCAACAGTTTGCTCCCACAGAGAAACACAAAGTGAAAAATACTGTTTGAGTACTAGTTATAGCATTAAATCTCAATGTACAGCACACTAAGGACAGACATCCTACATGAGGAGTAAGTGCACAGTGACTCCTGTTGTTGACTTTACAAATTGACACTCTTGTTTATGGCATCAGTAATCACCCTAGGCTCTTGTCATGAGCTGCTAAGGCTATGGAAGCCCCCTGAGTTCACTGACTCTGATCATATTTAGACAAGGCCATGGTCAAAGTGGAAGTTCTCTCCTCCCTTCAGAGAAAGGTACCTCCTTCTTTGATGACCCGTTCTTTCCACTGGGATCTCACTTGCGGAGATCTTTCATTTAGGTTTTTGTTTTTTTTTTTTGTTTTGTTTTGTTTTTTGTTTTTTTTTTTTTTTTTTTTTTTTTTTTTTTTGCCAGAGTGTCTTGGCTTTCCATGCCTGAAATACTCTCATGGGCTTTTCAGCCCGGTCCACATGCCTTAAGGGCTGATTCTGAGGCCAGAGTGCTGTTTAGGACATCTGCCATTCTATGGGTCTGCTGTGTATCTCACTTCCCATGTTGGATCGTTCTCTCCCTTTTTTATTCTATCAGCTAGTATTTGCAGACACTAGTCTTGTTTATGTGATCCCTTTGGTTCTTAGTCCTATCATTATGATCAATTGTGAACAGAAATTGATCACTGGGACTAGTGAGATGGCATTGGTACATGCCACCTTGATGGGATTGAATTGGAATCCCCTGGTATGTTTCTAACTCTACCGTTTGAGGTAAGTCAGCTTGAGCATGTCCCAAATTGCACATCTCTTCCCTCTCTTATTCCCACTCTTATATTGCTACTGTTTTTAAAGCTTTATTTATTTATTTGAAAGGCAGGGTGATAGAGATAGTGGTAGAAGTAGAGGTAGAGAAAGAGCTCTCTTCCTTTTGCTGGTTCATTCCCTAAATGCCCACAATGGCCAAGGCTGGGCCAGTCTAATTCCAGGAGCCAGGAACTCCATCTAGGCCTTCCATATGGGTGTCTGGGGCCCAACTACTTAAGCCATCATCTACTGCTTCCCAATTAGCATTAGCAAGGAGCTGGATCAGAAGCAGAGTATCTATGATTCTAACTGTAGCTTAATTTGGAATGCTGGCATTGCAGGTGGCAACACAATTTCTTGTGTCACAATGCTAGCCTTAACTTGCTGTATTTATTATTAGTATTTTCTTTGGATTGTCTTCTCTGTAGGAGAAAAAGTCCATAGTCCTCCATCCTCCATAAAAGAAACTTCCTGTTACTCTGTGCTGATCTCTCTTCATCTCCTCCTCCCTTTTTTTTTTGGTTTTCTAGAGCTGCCTTAAAGAATTACTACAAACCACATGACTTAAAACAACGAAATTTATTCTTTGACAGTCAGAAGTCTGAAATCAAGTTATCAGCAGGGCCATGCACCTTCCCAAGGCTCCAGGGACAAATCCTTCTGTGATTGTTCAGTTTGTTTTTTACCAGGTGCCTGGTGTCTTGTGGCTTCAGAAGTCCAATTTCTCCCTCTGTCTTCATATGACTATGACCTCTTTTCTTTCCTAAATTTCTCTTGGTCTTCTTTTATAAGGACATTTGTCTTGGCTTTAGGGTCCGGTTCCATAACACTAGATGATCGTAACTAAGAAATCTTTTTTAAATTTATTTATGTTTTTAAGAAAGAGAGAAAGAAGCTGGTGTTGTGGTATATTGAGTAAAGCTGCTGCCAGTGATGTAGGCATCCCATATGGTTGTCAGTTTGAGTCCCAATTGTTACACTTCGGATCCAGTTCTCTGCTAATGCACAGTGGAGGGTGTCCCAAGTCCTTAGGCCCCTGCACCCATGTGGGAAACCTGAAAGAAGTTCCTGACTTTGGTCTGTCACAGCCCTGGGCATTGGGACCATTTGGGGAGTGATCCAGTGGATGGAAGAGTTCTCTCTTTCTATCTCTCCCTCTCTCTCTGTAACTTCCTTTTAGATAAATAAATCTTCAAAGAGACAGAAAGAGAGAGCCCATATACAGTTCATTTCCCAAATGGCTCAAAGGGGCTGGGCTGGGTTGTCTGTGTAAACTCAATCCAGGTCTCCATGTGGTGACAGGAACCCAATACATAAGCCATCACTAACTCACAGGGTGTTATTCACAGATTCTGGCAACTAGAATGTGGACAAATATTTGGGGGAGGTGTCACTATTCAGTATACTCTACTTTGCAAGCAGGAGAGCAGCCTTTTCCTGTACTTCTCCACTTTGAAAAATCTTAGTGAAGGAACTTGACCAGACTAGCCAGTTGCAAGCCACTCCTAAAAGTACAGGTGGAGGAATATTAGGGCATTATGGTTGACCTATTTCTTACCCTTGATTTCTCCATTTCTGAAGTAAAAGGAATCAGATAGCATAAAGATGGCATTGAAACAGTTGTTAAAGAATAGGCACTCAAATGTGTATCTATTTATATAGAGTGGATAGTCCCCTCTGTTTTTCCAATCTGGGTCTTAGTCTCATCTATTAGGTTGCTGGACCTACTTTCAAGCTGGATGGCAGCTTTTAAAAAGACATAAACTTTCCCACTACTCTTTATAAGTCTCAGGCCTTTATTTGCACTTGCCTGTTCTAGGAAGCTTTTTGATTTTAGGAAGCTGATTCCTTAATTGACACACATTATGGTACTTAGATACTGAAGCTCTCCATAAGGCAGGCTTCCCTGGAGTTTCATTTTGTTTCCTAAGTGGTGATGCATCAGTGTAATCCTCTTTGAAGAAGAAATTATTTACCATAACATTTGTTCTCTGAAAATATTTTATCATTGATAGATTGTTGCAATCCACTTTTCCATTAGCTTGTTTTTAATAAGTTTCTTTCTATCATTTTTATTCTTTTTATTAAATTTCTCACTTTTATTCATCATCTATATTTTATTTTATTTAAGGTAAATAAATCTCATGTATTTTATACTCAGATTAGGAACATAGTGATACTTCCCATCTTATCCTCCCTCTTGCCCACGCTTCCACCCTTCCTCCTCCTTCCTTTCTTAACCTCTCTCTTAAGTTTTACAATGATCTACTTCCAGTTTACTTTCTTCTGATAAGATTCACCCTATACTAGACAAATGGTTCAACAAATAATAAGAAGAAAAAACAAACTGTTCTTTAACAGTAGAGATAAGGGGTATAAACATTCATCAATCTCAGAATGTCCATTTCCCTCTTGTACATTACATTTTCAGTACTCTAATTGTTATCCAAGATAGGGAAAACATATGTATTTTCTTTTTGGGACTGGTTTATTTCACTAAGTATAATTGTTTCCAGTGCATCTATTTTGTTCCAAAAGACAGGATTTCATTCCCTTTTATAGCTCAGAACTATTCCAAAGTGTATACCACAGTTTCTTTATCCAATTTCAGTTGATGCCATACCTTAGCTATTGTGAATTGAGCTGCAATAAACATGGGGATACAGATAACTTTTTCATATGCTGACTTAATTTCCCTTGGGTATATTCCAAGGAATGGGATCGCTGTTTCATATGTGTTTTCAGCTTTCTGAGGAATCTCCATACTGTCTTCCACAGTGGCTATACTAGTTTACCTTCTCTCCAGCCATGGGTTAGAGTACCTTTTACCCCACATCCTCACCAGCATTTATTGTTTGTTGATTTCTGTATGAGAGCCATTCTAAGTGGTGTGAGGTGAAACCTCATTGTGCTTTTGATTTGCATTTCCCTGATGGCTAGTGATCCTGAGAATTTTTTCATGTGTCTGTTGGCCATTTGAATTTTCTCTTTTGAGAAAAGCCTGTTCAAGTCCTTTGCCCATTTCTTAACAGGATTGTTGGTTTTGTTGTTGTTGAGTTTCTTGAGCTCTTTATAGATTCTGGATATTAATCCTTCATCAGTTTCATAGTTTGCAAATAATTTCTCCTAGTTGCCTCTTCATTTTGCTGAGTATTTCCTTTGCAGTGCAGAACCCTCTCAGCTTGATGTAATCCCATTTATCTATTTTGGATTTGATTGCCTGTTATTCTGGGGTGTTTTTCAGGAAATCTTTGCCTATGCCAATGTCTTGAAGAGTTTTCCCAATGTTCTCCTCTAGTAATTTGACGGTATCATGTTGTAGATTGAGAATCCTTGATCCATTGTCAGTTCATTTTAGTATAAGGTATAGGCAGGGGTCTTGTTTGATACTTCTGCATGCTGAGATCCAGTTTTGCTAGTGCCATTTGTTAAAGAGACTGTCTTTTCTCCAGGGGTTGATTTTAGTTCCTTTGTCAAAGATTGGTTGGTTATAGATGTATGGCTTGCTTTCTGAAGTTTCTAGTATGTTCCATTGGTCTACATATCGATTTTTGTGCCATAACCTGGCTGTTTTCATTATAACTTCCTTGTAGTATGTCTTAAAATCTGGTATTGTGATGCCTCCAGATTTGTTTCTGTTCTAAGATTGCTTTAGCTATTCAGAATATCTTGTGTTTCCATATGAATTTTAGTAATTTTTTTTTAGATCTAAGAAGAGTTTCATTGGTGTTTTGATTGGGATCATGTTGAATTTGTAAATTGCTTTCAGTAGTATGGACATTTTGGTGATATTAATTCTTCCAGGAACATGAAAAATTTTACCATTTTTTTGTTGTCTTCTTCTATTTCTTTAATGTTCTGTAATTTTCATTATAGAGCTCTTTCACATCTTTGGTTAAATATATTGCAAGGTATTTATTTATTTTTTTTTGTTAGCTATTGTAAATGGGATTGATGTTAGAAGTTCTTTCTCAGCCATGGTATTGTCTGTGTATACAAAGGCTATTGATTTGTGTGTGTTAATTTTATATCCTGCCACTTCACCAAACTCTCTTATGAGTTAAATAGTTTTATGGTGGAGTCCTGTGTTTAGAATCATGTCGTCTGCAAACAGGGGTAATTTGACTTCCGCCTTTTCAATTTATATCCCTTTGATTTCTTTTTTCTTGCTTAATGGCTCTGGCTAAAACTTCCAGAACCTTATTGAGTATCAGTGGTGAGAGTGGGCATCCTTGTCTGGTTTCGGATCTTTGTGGGAATGCTCTCAACTTTCCCTGTTCAGTAGGATGCTGGCTGTGTGTTCATTGTAAATTGCATTGATTGTGTTGAGGAATGTTCCTTCTATGTCCAATTTGCTTAAGGTTTTCATCATGAAAGGATGTTTATCAGATGCTTTCTCTGCTTCTACTGAGATAATCATATTGTTTTTATTCTTCATTTTGTCAATGTGAAGTATCACATTTATTTATTCGTGAATTTTGAACCATTCCTGCATACCAAGGATAAATCCCACTTAGTCTGGGGGAATGATCTTCCTGATGTGTTGTTGCAGCTCTCAGCTGTGGGGGTTGTGTGTGTCTGAGCTTGTTGCTGTGCTTCTGAATTTTTATGCTGATCCCTGGCATCCTTCTTCCTTTTGTGGTTTCCAGTGCAGATTTCTCTCCAACTCTTTTCAACAATGCATTTCCTACACTTTTTGCTACTAGTTTCTCTTTGGTTAAAGCAGTATGTCCTTTCCCTATTCAGCCATCATGGCATCTCCTATAATTTTTATTGTTACTGTACTTAGTGCTAGATTCAGGGCTAGAACTTTATCCTTTTAAGGTTTTAGCAGCTCTCAAATAATCCGAATTAGCATTGTATGTAGACTGCTGTGCACTTTTCACTTATTTATACTAATATCTTACTAATGAAGAAAAATCTCTAGAAATCATTTTAGAAATTTTCATGTAGGGTACAAATTGTCATCCTTTCTCTTCATATAAGAGCAGATCAGTAATACAAAATTAGTAATTTTGTAGATTGTTAAGATTATTGTAGTTTGATGATAATTGATCATTTCTTTTAAATGAACATAATTAAGCACGAAAAGTGTGTATGTGTTTGAAGAATTATGTAGTAAACAAGTTTTTTGTTTTGTCTACTGTATACTTAATAGTATCTAGGCAACTTAAAAAGAGCTCTGTGGCCCTAGTATTATAACTAAATCACGGAAATCACAGTGAAGAGATCAGAAGAATGAGGTACAGTTGGTATTGCCATTAATTGGAGTATGAGTATGCAGCTGGGAATATGAATATGAGTTGATAAGCTCAGGTTCTATCGTAATGTTTGAAACAAGTTTGCTCAGCTTAGAAGCAGACAATGATAGATATGTTAAAATAGCAAACTTTTTATTCTTTCTTCTTAGGTAGTTTGCCAATATTTGCTGATTTAAACTCTTGTGTTAATATTACTTGCATTTTTCTATAAGATACCTGTAGAATGGTAAATGCTTCCTTAAATGTTGAATATAAATTTTTAATAGATAAATTTATCAAAAATTTGTTTTTTCCTGTTTTGATTAGAATTTACCAAATGTAATTTTGACTTAATCATTCTTTATTCCTCTTTTCAAACTCAATTCTCACCTATTTGTATGATGATATGGTCTTTGTATCATTATTTACAAAGATCTCAGTAAATATTTTGTAGTGGCTGGCATTATCAGTGTTTAGGACAGCTGGTGGCACCAAGGTCATGAGGTTCTCTCTGCACTTGCGTCAGTGGTGTTGAAGCCTGTCTACACATTATAACATCTTGGGGAGCTTTGAAAGGGTATTACTGCCAGAATTCCATTGACTTAGTTGGTCTTGGGTAGGCCTTGGGTATCTATATTTTAAAGTTCTATACATTAGGAACTACTTCTTTTCATGAGCCAGGGAACTGCTGTTAAAAAATACCTCAAAAGTTACTAGATAAAAATATTCAGACACACTTTATTTATGAGTTTCATATTTGTTTTTTAAAGTAGTTTACAGTTTGGGAAATTTTATCAATTTGGCTTTCTGCATTGCTCATCAGTTCTAGAGTGAAGTGTAAACTGACGATTTTCCACTTATGTTGAATGTTAAATGTACTTCAGGACTCTTACAAATCCTAATGTGCAGGCCACATCCAGACCAGTTAATTCAAAAATCTCTGAGGGTGGGTATTAGTGGTTTTTCTTTTTCTTTTTTTCTTTTTTTCTTTTTTTTTTTTTACAGCTTTCCAGGTGATTTCAGTGTTAAATCAGATTTGAGGACCATAAATCTGAATATTTGTTGATTTAAATTTTCTTTAAATCATTTTAGTTAAGCAGAGTTTTACTCTTTATTTCAGGATGTTATTGATAGACTTATAGCACTGAATTCTGAAGCTAAGATTCGCTCTTTATTCAACTATGAACAATCACACATCTTTGGTCTAAGGTAAGGTGGTAAATTTTATTTTATATGTATTTATTTTTAAATGTTGTTTGAGATTCAGGTAGAGAGAACAAGAGAGAGAGAGAGAAACTCCCATCTGTACATTCACTCCCCAAATACCTGCAACAGCTGGGGCTGGTGCACAGCTGAAGCTTTGAGCTGAGAACTGAGTCTATAGCTCCCACATGGGGAGCAGAGATCCAATTGCTTACCTCATCACTGCTGCGTTTCAAAGTCTGTCCACAGAGCAAGAAGCTGGAATCAGAGGTTTGGAGGGGAGTATCAAACTCAAGCATTCTGATTTGGGATATTTGGGCATCCTAATCAGCATATAATCACTAGGCCAAATATTCACGCCTACATTTTATTTTAGATATTATGGGTTATAAATAGCAAAAAATTAAGCATTTCTTCTATGTATTTAAAAATGTTTAAAACAAGCTAATATTTATAAGTATATTTAAAGGTAATTTGTCAAACAAAAATAAAGGGAATTTGTCTTTCTTTAACATTATAGACAATCTAAAATACAGAATTTATGTTTTCATACTATGGCCTTTGTTTGAAATTAGGTTCTGTGTTAGTACAATGTCTTCCATTTTTGCTCCATTTAATGAAGGCATTTTGGGGACTATTTCATTTTCTTTATTCAAGAGTTAATTGAGTCTTCCTTGGGTAGTTGATACTTGACTAGACTATTGCCTACGTGCATGATTTATCTTATGGCCCAAATTTTGCACCTGGGTGTTAATCACTACTCTGCCACTTTTTCTTTTCCTGAGATTCAAATCTTTCTGGTTGAGTTCATATTATTTTATATGTTATTTGCATATTCATATGGGAAGTAAAGCAAAGTTGTAAGGCTATAGAAAATTATGCAGTCCTCAGTATTTTGGTCATGTGTTAGATTTATATAACTTGCTTCCCTTTTAAAAATTACTACCCTTTAAATCAGCTGAATTAAGGAAATTTTCTATTTTTTAGATTCATGATTTTTTTTCTCATTTCTACTAGTAAAGTAACTTTTTCAGGCATGAGGGAGGTCAATGATATTGTACTACTTAAGAAATAAAGAAATTACTTTTCAAAATTTAGAATTCTGCAGTGGAGGTATATTTTATAGATCTATATTTTAACATTTTTTAGCCATTCATTATGACTAAACTTCATCTTTGGATATTCTAGTTCAAAGAATGTGTAAAAATTAGAGTTTTTCCATCTCAAAATGTGTTTTCATTATAGATTCTACTATGTCAATAATTAATACTTATAGCTAATAATTAACTTTTATAGCATGCACTTTCCCATAATATCCAAATGCAGTCATTCTATCCTGCTCTAGAAAATGGACTGCCCATGGTTGGTAGGTGTAGTGGAGTAGTGTTGCGTGTTGGAGAGCAGCATAGACTCTGCAGTCAGACTGCCATTTAATAGTTCTATCAGGTGGATCTCAGTCATTCACCTGTAAAGTGGAGGACAATTATTTTTCTCATGGAGTTATTATGAGACTTATATATGAAAAATTAAGTGAGTTAAAGCAGGCACACAGCTAGCATAATAAACATTACAGTAATAATAGTACTCATAGTGGTGTCTACTGTATTTTTTATATCTACTTGTTCTGTTCTATTTTGATGTTTTACTGTGAAATAATTTTTTTCCTTTTATTTTAGTATCTTCATAGTCTACCACATGCTGCCTAGTAATTTGCTATGTTTATAACATCAGTGTTCAAATAGATAAAATGACAAAATAACCTTCTGGGCAAAAGTTTGTATTTTAACTTTATGTCCTTTTTAATGAATATTTCTTTGACAATAAATTTATTTTCATTAATTCAGTTATATGCTTATGTTGTATTTTGGAAGTTAGAAAATTTATTTTTCACTGATTTTAGTCTATTATTGGTCATTGAGGCCTTGGGATGATAATTATGTTATAAAATATTTGGAACTCATACACACCTCTGAGAAACAGAAAATTACCTCTAGAGAGAATGCATTCCATGTAGCAGGTTACTGTTCCTACAACCTGTTGCTCCCCCTCTTCGTGGAGGAACAACACAGGACCCTGCGCTGTTCTTTTGTCTGCTCGGCCCTCCCCGGGTTTGCTGCTGGTTCTTCCCGGGTTGGCTACCGACCCCTCCACCTCCGTGGAAGGGCAGTTCCCCCTGGCCACACTTCCCACTTCCGCAGGGGAGCGGCACACTGCCGGCCGGCTCTCTCGGGGGCTGCACAGGTGTTCCCCTTAGATGTTCCCCTTAGATGTTCCTGGTGCATGCCGGCTCTCTCCTCCTTTATAGTCCTCCTCCGCCAATCCCAACTCGGCTGCCCACACGCCGAGTACGCTGCTCTCCTCCAATCAGGAGTAGGTCCCACAGTTTATTGGTTGAACTGGAGGCAGCTGTGCGGAAGCTGTTTACTTCTCTCTCAGCGCCATATTGTGGGAGAGCAGATGCATAGAATAAGTCTTAATTCCAGTAACTTAGTCTAGTCCGAGTTGCTCCCAGTTGCTCCCCACACAACCTAAGACAACTCCAACTAACAGGTTATGGATCCCTAGGTACAGAACAATGGCAAAGCTCCCATATCAGGCTCTGTATCAGGCTCTCAAAAGCAAACCAGAACAGGGCCCCTTCCTTTGGGAGAAAACAAAACACAGCCTTCATCCACTGAAAGGCTGTCATGACTAGGGCTCCCATGCTAGGGTTGTTAAACCCAGCCCCTCAAAACAAGTGGCACTTAGAGATGCTAACTAGATGCTGACCCAGATGCCCTATCTGTGTCATGCTCCAAAAATGTGTTTTTGGAAGGTCAAACTGAACAAATACAAAATCACATTTGTACTAGAGAAGGCCTGCCAGTTGAACAAGACTGGAATATTTGGCCTAGCATCTGGTCATGAAAGTCCTGACTATTGATCCTCCTTTTGCCTATAGCTTCCGTACTCCTGTTGCTTCTCTTTGGACCATTTATCTTTAATACTGTCATCTATTTTGTGTCTAACAGAGTACAACCCAACCTCTTTAGAAGGTCCCTTCGGTTGATATGACCAGTCATCTAGACTGTGCAAAACAATTTTCCCAGGCCACGCCCATACACCATAGGACAGTAAACAAGAGAAGCAGCTCTATGCCCGTATATCGACTCCAAAGAAAATACAGAAGATGGGCCTTCATCCATGTTACCATCATAATATAGGGCTTTTTCTTTTGTTGGGGGAATGTTTAGGCATGAGCCTGTCTGTGTGTGTGTGTGAGTGTGTGTGTGTGTGTGTGTGTGTGTGTGTCTGAGGGAAAGACGTAAAATGGAAATTTCTGAGTAATGGAACAAGGAGATCCCTTGGAAAGAAACCAGCATGTGTACTATGGAAGTCCCAGCCTCTCCCTGGGGGCAGCTTAGGGGAATCTCATTTGCCCTCATCAAGGGGGCTGCCATGAAGTTCTGGGAGAAATTACCTACACAGAAAGCCTTCTACACAGTAGTATTCCAGAAAGGATGTAGTGGGAGGAGAAAGAAGGCCTACACACAACATCCATAAAAACTCTATTCTGAATGCACACTGGGCTCTCAGTTCTTTAGTGAGAAGCCCACCTGGTCTGTCAGGTGTGCTCTCTACATTAAACTTTGCTAACATGCTTACCATTAAGGAAAAAAAAAGGCAGTGGAGAGGAGAAAAAGAAATTCTCTTTATACACTCCATTGGCTTCAATTTTTCCTGTTTGCTTTCTACAAGCAACCACTAAATGTTGGAGCAACCAGGACTTGGTCTTGAGTCTGAGGTTCACTCTTTTCCCATATACTCTACCTCTCATTTGCTCTACCTACACCTTTGTCGTCAGATATTGCTTATACATGCCAGTGGATGCCCCGATGTGCATCTCTAACCTAAATCTCTCTTCTGAGCTACTAGAATGTTGGGAGAATATATATCTGCTTCCTGACATTGCAATTGATATGTTTCTCAGGCATCACAAGCTTAACATGTCTAAAATTGAATTGTTGGATTTCCTATACATCCTCCAACCAAAACATTAAGTGGCCCAACTATCCCTTCATTTGCATAATCCTGAAAGCTGTGTTAACTTTTTTCTTTGTTTTTCAAAGAACAATTTTTTATTATAAAAATAAATTAACTAATGTAGGAATAATACCTTAAGTGCAATTCTTCTAATTCTGAAAGTATCATTATTTACATTGAGGAATTTCATTCTAGAGATCATTCCGTACATATGCAGATGGAAAGTAAATATTTAAAAATCAATTATTGTAGACCGGCGCCGCAGCTCAATAGGCTAATCCTCCGCCTGCAGCCCCGGCACACCAGGTTCTAGTCCAGGTCGGGGCGCTGGATTCTGTCCCGGTTGCCCCTCTTCCAGGCCAGCTCTCTGCTGTGGCCCCGGAAGGAAGTGGAGGATGGCCCAAGTGCTTGGGCCCTGCACCCTATGGGAGACCAGGAGAAGCACCTGGCTCCTGCCTTCGGATCAGCGTGTTGTGCCGGCTGCAGCACGCCTGCCGCGGCGGCCATTGGAGGGTGAACCAACGGTAAAGGAAGACCTTTCTCTCTGTCTCTCTCTCTCACTGTCCACTCTGCCTGTCAAAAAAATAAAAATAAATAAATAAATAAATAAATTGTATAAAAATGGAGTTGTAATATAGTTGTCACTTTAAATTCCAACTGAATTTTATAGGAAACGAAATGAAACCCTAATAAGACTGACGGGATTGCTGATTTTCACATAATTTTTTTTCACTCTGGTTGTTATTATTTTCCTCAAGATTTCTCTAAGATTAAGACACAGAAAACATTGTGTAAAGCATTTCAAGAGGTCTGAGCATGATGTTCTCTTTTAACCAATATTGACTGACTGTGCTGTGGGCGATGAGCTAAAGCTCCCGCTGATCTGTGCCCTTCTTCCCCCGCCATGGCCCTTCCCCACCTGTATCGGATGGGTATTCCCTACCCATTTCCAGACCTGCCTTCATGAGTAAGTGATCGTATTT